GTGCCTGCACCAACCCAAAGAAGAAAAAGACGATGACAAAAGACAGCACACAGACAGTGATGAGCCACTCGCTGCCACTAAATGCATCTCTGAACCCTGCTGAGTTCTCTCTATCCAGACAAAATATATTATGTTAAAATAAAAAACATCTGAAATACTTTTCTCAGCCCCATCTTGTAAAAATCCTCCTCTTCCCCAGATGTGGTGGCACACACTTGTAATCCCAGCACTTGGGAGGCTGAGGCAAGAGGATTGCTGCAAATTGGAGACCAGCCCAGGCTACTAAAAAAGTGAGCTCAAGGCCTGCTTGAACTGCATAGGAAGACCCTGTCTCAAAAAACATGTGAGTAAATAATTAAATAAATAAATATCCTTCTCTCTATGAAATAGAGACTAACTGGCAAAAGGCCCAGTTAGGAATACATTTCCTGGGAATTTATTGGTATGCTCTTCTACGAATGTATGAGACTCATAAACACTGTTAATAATTGTAGACCTCTACAAACCCTTATGGTTTAACAAATGCGAACACATAATGCACGTGATCCAGACTAACATGGTCCACATTGGGTAGATGAGCAACTATTCCTCTAGGAAAACTGCTGGAGAAAAAAACTCCTTAGAGATAGCAACTAAACCAACCTCAACTCCCAGGTTGCTTCATTATTCTCTTGTCCCCAATCTAATAATTTTCCAGCATTTATACCTAAGCCATTTAGGGGAAACTTGCTATGCATAAATTGTAAAGTATTAACTCTCCAAATCAATTCAGACAGATGCACTTTCCTATTAGTATAAACTATTAAGGCTTCGACCATTAAGAATGTTAATACCTACAAGGTAGAAACTTATAGATTAAATGTCTAATACAGCATTTTATGAAATTTGAAGCATACAGCAATAAAGTCACCGACCAGCTGAGAGCATGTGGGTCACTTCTGGTGATTTTGAGAAGCCTGGCCTCCGCCCCCTCCCCCAAGCCCCTGTTACTCTCACTAGTCCTACACCACTGACCTGTGCAGGCACCCTTTTAGCCCCCCCAAACTCCACTCAGGATACTCCCAGCAACCATCACAGTGGCTCAGAAAGCAAGTTCTTTTTTTTTTTTTTTTGTCTTTTTCATTTTTATCGGTACCAGGGATTGAACTCACGACCGCCTGCTTGCAAGGCAGGTGCTTATGCCGCTGAGGCTAAACCCCCAGCCCCAGAAAGCAAGTTCTAACAGCTCTGCACTCGCACATTCCCTCCCAAGAAAACAGCAGCTAAGAAGCACTTCTTGCACAGCACAAGATCTGCCTGGCAATACTCCTGACACTTAAAAAAATATTACTGAGTAAAGAACAGCACTTGACATGCTGCTGCAAGCCAGAAGCACTTGCCTCATCCTGCCTGCTGGCCAATGCTCCTGTCAAGATGGCAGGCCTTCCCAGGTACACAGAGGTCCTGAACACTATCTCCTCCAGTTCTGCACCCCTACTCTAGGAATGGTCAGAGGCTAAGCTCACCCTGAAGCTTTGCCAAAACAAGAAGGCCCTCGAATTACCCAGCACCCTAGCAGCAGGCCAGAACTGCTTTCCTGATTCCTATAGTACAACAGATGAAAAACACCCTAAATTCTAGAGAGCTGCGCTGGGGAGGGAGGAAGCTGTTTGCCAAAATATCCAACTGCATCTTTTCCAGACAAACTCTTTTCCATCTGGGGTTCTCAGGAAGCCGCACAGTATCTGTATACTCCACCTCCTCAGCAGAGATAGCAGGTCGCAGGGACCACCCTGTACTCCAAATCACAACCTAAACCATTTTCAACAGGAGGAAAAAAGTATTCAATATTTTAAACACCCAGCCTGTGATCCCTCTCTAGATAAGAAACTACCTTGTGACTGAGCGGCAAAAACAGTAATTGAAGGATTTCATTGGAGTCTCTTTCATACCAGAGACCAAGATGAGTTATTCATATATCAGCAACAGAGCCCAGGGACACAGTAAACAGGCAGCGTGGAGAAGCCCGCTTTGGATGCTCAGTGAAACTTTTCATACTGGATTTTTAAAAAAGATAGTTCACATCCCATTCCTCAAGTATGTGCAAGAGTTAAGGAATTTTAAGCCACTTTATCTCCTAACAGTACACAGATGATTTCCCATACCCTCAAGAAAAGCCTTAAGCATTTAAGAGATAGTGATTTAAAACAGGAACACAGTGCTCAGGGTGTGACTCAGTGGTAGAGCAAATGCTCACCTAGCGTGCTCAGAAGATGCACACTAGCTGTGGAGAGGAAACCTTTCTCCACTATTGGTGGAACGCAGACTGTTGCAACCACTGTGGACAGCAGTGTGGAGATTCCTCAAAAAACTAAGCTAGAGGTCCCACTGGACCCAGCTATTCCCTTTTTGGTATATTTCCAAAGAATTAAGAGCAGCGTATTACAGTGATACACGGACACCATGTTTAGCACACAGTTTATAGTAGCTAAATCTTGGAAACAAACTGAATGTTCATCAACTGATGAATGAATAAAGATGTGGTTCTTAAAAAAAAAAAAAAAACAAGGATGTGGCTCTTTGATACAACAGAGTACTACTCTGCCATAAAAGATAATCTTGAGACATTTCTAGGTAAATGGATGCACCTTGAGAACACAGTGAACTAAATTGGACACAGATATATAAATTACTGTTTCCCTGGTATGAGAAACAAAGTATAAATAAGGACCAAAATGTACTAACAGATATACTTAAATTTAAAAAAAAAAAAAAAAAAAACATAGTAACGAGAAGGGTAGGGAACTAGGGAGGAAGAAGAAAAGGAAGAAAAAGGGAAAAAAAGAGAAATGAAGGAAAAAATGGAAACAAATCTTTTGTAAATAGGCATAGGAAGAGGAGCTGGAGAAAGAGTAGGAAAAGGGAAAAAAAGAAATGCCCTATGATGAATGTGATCATTATGTATACCTCAAATGTACCAATAAATTTAATTAGTTCTTTTTTTTTTAAGGCCCAGGCTTGATGCACAGCATTGCAAAAACATTTAACAAAACTTCTTTTGCAGGTAATGCGTTTAAAGTAGAGACCAAGTAGCTCTAAACAAGTTTCCACGTGCGGCTGCACACACAGCAAGTGTGTAAAATCTACCTCTGAAAAGACTGGGAGGTTCACTGTCCAGAGGAAATTTGGCAGAAAAACTAACCATACCAACTTAAGAAACTGTCAAAGACTAGTGGGCACCAACAATGAACATCACCCTCAGAATCCTCTCTGGCACTGACTATATCATGCCCACAGGCCACGTGGCTAAAGTATGTAGATTTCAAAGCCTTTCAGGCCAGCGCTCCACTTGGAAATCAGGTGAACAAACATAAATTCAAGACACTGTGATGACTAACCTGATTCGGGGCGGACCCTGAATCAGCCAGCCTCAGTCTGCCCTCAAGGCCCTCTTGAACCTTACTTATTACAAAATGAATTCCAATTAGCTTCAACACCAGAAACCCAGCTGAGTCAATTTTTATGGATGTCCTTGGTCAAGGCAGTCTTTTTTCCAAAACTTCTTGCTTTAAATACCTCTCGGCCTGACCTTGTTTATACTGCTGCCCTTCCTCCACATCATGAAGTTACCAAGGCAACAAAGGGTCTTGGGGCAGCTAATAGGTCTATAAACTACAGTGCGCCAAACTCTCCCTCCTGCCACCCAATCCAGTCCAAAAAAGGGAAAGAGCTAGGCACGGTGCTGCAGGCCTGTAATCCCAGCACTTAGGAAGTGAGAAAATCACAAGTTTGAGGCCAGTCTGGGCCACATAGTAAGCGCATTGCCAGGCTGAACGATTTAGTGAGGTCCTGTCTTATTTTTTAAAAAATGATTATGGGTGAGTGTTACTAAAGAACTTCAAGTCAGGTCAACAAGAATCACCTTAACATAATAATTTCTGCAAACTTTGAACTCAAGGTGCTAATAAATTATCTCTGATACAGAGAAAAGAATACGGCAAACCCTAGCACAAACTCAAAGTTCAGCTTAAAGTAGGATCAACTTCATTTTGAAGTTACTTGTAAGTGCAACAGGGGAAGCTGAAGACTGCTCTTAACTCTTTAACCCATTTTCTTATTACCAAAGTTTCAAAACTATGTAACATAGCTAGGTTTCCCATTATCCTAAACAGTCCAGAGGAGGTCAGTCAAAAACTCTTGGACTCAAAAGCTCCCCCCGGAGACTCTCTGTCCTTGTCAAACACCAACTAACTCCTATGGGACCAGTGATTACACAATCTAGGTTCCCAGAACAGAAGACTCCACTAGAATAATCCACCCAGGAGACAATGAAATCATGTGGCCACCAGACAGGAAGTTGCTTCGAAGAAGTTAAAGGTGAAGTCTAGGAAGCCGAAACAGCAGGACTACCACTCAGATACCCAACCGAAAAAAGGAAACTAAGTCACTTACTGCCGCATCTATTTTAAGAAAAAAATGGAAACCGACACGGAGGAAATCATTCAACAAACGAAACCAGCACCATCCAATTACCAGGCCATTCCCGTGGGGTCCGACACATTTGTGTGTCCACCCTGAGGGGCCTCTCCAGAGCTCCACTGGTGGGACTCAAGTGAGAATGTGCAGTAGAACAAAAGCGAAGCTGAGTTCCTGCCCTCTACAACTTCCCAGCCGCGCCGCTGAGAGGGGCACTGAGCGTGTGGCTAGCCGCAGTGTCCCGGTTCACACAGGTCCAGCGGGCCGCGACGCACACAAAGCCCCCCTGACTTTACTGACAGCCACAAGTGGCCCGGCCCAAGGCCTGGCCGGCCAGCGCCCCCACCCACTGCATGCAGAACCCTCAGGCCCCTCATGGGGCCACCACGCAGGCAACTTTCCCTCGGGGGCGGGGCGGACCGCAGCTTGAACAAGAGGCGGCCGCAGAGCCAGACCCTCCGCGAGCGCTCCCTGCCCCCCAGTCGGGCCCTGGCCGCGCGCCCCGGACCCCACGAGCGGAGCCGGCGCCCGGGCGGGCCACCCACCTGCACAGCTCGTGGAACTCCGCGGCCTGTGCTTGCGCGGTCCCCGGGGCCGCGGCAAGCAGCAGGGGAAGCAGCAACAGCAGCGAGCGCGGAGGGCGGCCGTCGGGCGCGGGCCCCAGGTGGGCGCCCCAGCCGGCGGCGGCCCCCATCGCTCCGACCCGGCTGCGCGGCGAGCGCGAGGCTGGAAGCGGACGGGGGACTGCGGGCGGCGGCTGCTCGGGGCCGCGCACGGAAGGAGGTCGTAGGTGGAGCTCGAGAGGCGCGATACCCGGAGGAGCAGAGGAGAAGCGGCGCGGCTCGGCGGGGCTCGGCGACGGCCCCCACAACCGCGTCACGTGGCCGCCATTGGCGCCGCCCGGCCCGCCCCTCGCTCACGTGACTCCCTTGTTCAGGTGATCGGCCGCGGGGCCCCGCCCAGGTCCGGGTCACGTGAGCAGCGCCCTGGCGGGACGGGAGGCGGCGCTGGAGGGCACGGATGCCAGGTGACTTTTAAGGCCTGCGCTCTCCGGCCGGCCGCGCTTCCGCCTTAGTTCCGCTTCTTCGGCGTCCACTGCACCGTGAGCAACGTGCCCAACCCCAATCAGTAAATCAAAATGCCAGGGCAAAATTCCCGTGGCACAGCCGCGTTGGTGCGGATCTGTGCGACGTAAGGACCCATCCAGAGGTTCTCAAGGTGTTTCCTGAGGGCCTCAGGCAACTCTCTGTGGAGATGTGATTTCCCAAGCGTGGGCTGCCTGCAGCGCCGAAGGCGGCGCAGATACAGCAAAGCGGACATAGTTAGGAGTGTGACTCTCCAGCAAGTGTCGACCAGTGAAGCTTTGTTAATTCTTAGACATTGGGTTGAGCCCATGCTGTGTGTCTGGCTGTAAGCCAGGTACCTTACAAGAGGACAAAAAAAAGAAAAAGACCCCTTCTCAAGAACTTATTTATTTTGGAGCGAATGATGATAAGGCTGGTGGCATAGCTCAGTGGTAGAGACCTTGTCTAGTACCTTGTAAGAGCCTAGTTCATCCACAGCACTGCAAAAATTGGTAAACCACCATGACAATCTTTTTTAGAGCTTATTCTACACCAGACACTTTGATGAGCATGTCAGCATAAATCTTTGCAAATCTGTGAGGTGGGAACCTTGTTATTGAGGAGCAACTGAGGACATTCTGATATGTAGCAAAGCTGGAATTCAAATACTTGTAAATAATCATGACCAGTATGTGACAGTAGTTGACACTGTTGAGTAAGTGATCAAATATCCAGTAATGCTCTGAAACTTTCATTTGACTTTTTAATGTTAACCTTTTAAGAGAGTTTCATTTGTTTCACCCACTTACAGATAAGGAAATTGAGACATGAAGGAATTAAGTAACGAGGTGTCATGCAGCTAATAAATGAAAGAGGCAGGGTTTTAGGTCAGACAGTCCCAGAGCCTCTGACATAGCTAGTGTGCTGTCCTACAGGGTTATATAGCTCTAATGGCTCCAAGTGAGAGCCCAGATTGTCAACTGTGGGTATCAAGAAGAGCTCATGGTTTGCTAATCCAGATTTCTAATTGTTAAACCGGGCGTGGTGGCTCACTCCTGTAATCCCAGCACTTGGCTGAGGCAGAAGAATCGTTGTGAGTTCAAGACCAGCCTGGGCTACAAAGTGAGCTCATGCCAGCGTTTACTGCATAGAGACCCTGTCTCAAGAAGACAGGAAAAAAAAAAAAAAAAAAACAGACTTCTAATTGTTACAGTTAACGGGCATTACCGATACCATCACATAAAAAGTTACTGTGAACCAGAATATTGTTTGTTTGAAAGTACTACTCCCAAACTGTATTTAATAAAGGGAAAATGTACCTTCACAATGAAAAGATCTGTCAGAACCATCTCAATTAAATGATTAAAAGTATTATCTCCACGCCAGCATGGTGGCATACATTTGTAATCAGCACGTAGGAGGCTGAGACAGGAGGATGGCTGCCTTCAAGGTCAGCCTTAGCTACATAGTGAATTTGAGGCCAGTCTGAATTGCAAAAGCAAGGCTCTGTCTCAATAAATAAGCAAATTAAATAAAAATAAACTACATATCAAGATCAGCCTGAACTACATTAAGAGACCCTGTCTCAAAAAATAAGCAAATATGTGTGTATCATCAATTTTTTGAAAAACTGACATTGTTTGCTTCTTAAAATGATGAATTGAAAACTATTGCTATGGCTGGGGATATAGTTGAAAGTTGAGAGCGTGTTCAACCTCCAGCACTTCAAGGAAAGCAAACACACTAACAAAATCACTGCTAAAATGATAGTATCTACAAGGATATAATCATAGTTTAGATACAAATGTAAGATGAACACATATCAAAAGATATTCTTAAACCAGGTGTGATGGCTCATGCCTGTAATCCCAGCACTTGGGAAGCTGAGGCAGGAGGATCCTTGCAAGTTTGAGACCAGGCTGGGCTACAAAGTGAGCTCAAGCCTGCCCAAGCTGCATAGAGACCCTGTCTCAAAAAAGACAAAAAAAATATATTCTTTAACTAATTAATGTGAGAACCAGTGATATGTTACTACTGGTTCAAAACAGAATCCAACTCATCTATAGAAAGTTGCCTCATAGTTGGAAGGTTAGTTTTTTGTTTTTTTTTTTTTTTAATTTAAGAGGAAAAAGAGAAAAACACAAAACAAACCAAAGCGGCGTAAGGGTACAGAACTACAGAACTACAAAACAAAACAAAACAAAACAAAAAAACATAACAGTAAGAAATCACCTGCTAGTAGATTACACGCTATCTTCTTGAAAATAGTTCCTCAAATCACAGTATCAAAGAACACAAGGTGGACATTCAAACAGGGAGACTGCAAACAGCTGTGTTCAATGTTCCAAAAACATTGATAAAGTCAGCTATTTAACACCCCCAAACACACTTGCTGTTATATCCGTTAGAGCTCTTTTTCTTTTTTTTTTTTTCCTCTCTTTTTTACAACAAAATTTACACATCTTGGATTTTATTACTCCTTAGTGCTTATTACTTTCTTTGGGGGGGGGGGAAGAATACAGTCAAATATGGTAAAACAAAGCTGTCAGTCAATACCAAGGATAGACATAGCACATGGTGTAGAACAGAGTACAAGTTTATCAACAATGGTTATCAACGTTGTCCCCTGTTTCCTTAAAAAGAATTGTCTATCTTATTAGATATTATAAAGTTGAACAAAACAGTAGAGAACAAGACCAATAAAACTTAGGCATTGTAAACATTATAGGACTTCCAAAGAAGACAATAGTCAAACCAGAATGGGTATCTTAGTGAATCTTATTGTCTTCAAAGTAGTTGCCTATTTCTTCAAACTTGATACTATCATATAGAATGGAACAGAGTCTAATCAGTCAAAACAAGATCGTGGGAGTACTACAGGACTTCAAAACAAGTTAATAGGAAATCGAAAAGAGTTACTATTTATATATCCTAATTTTTTTGAGTTTTTTTCTTTAATTAAGACAAACATAAGAAATGACTAAATAATTTTTTTTGAAACAATAAGGGGGAGATTGAGATAAAACAGGACATAACAATATAACAATAGAGGTCACAGCATGACTGTTTCAACAACCTAGTACTTCACCACCTTATAACCTGACTTAATAGTAGTTACCATAGTGTCTTTTTCCTTGAAATATTTGGATAAAACTTCATATACTCTAGCTTCAAATATTTTCATATCAAGAAGCCCAGAATAAAGCCTTTCTAATTAATGAGTGAAAACTTTATAAGGCTTCAAGGCCACCTAATGGGGAATCATGATTACCACATATTTTTATATATTTGAATCATTATTTACATTAGGGAAACTATTCGGTATTCACTCATGCGAGATTGATTTATTTCACTAATGAGTATGGTCTCAAGCTGCGCCCATTTATTGATAAATATCTCAATGTGATCCTTCTTTATAGCTGAATAATACTCCATTGTATAGAAATACCACAACTTTTTTATCCATTCCTCAGTTGATGGGCACTTGGGTTGTTTCCAAGATCTGGCGATTACAAATTGTGCTGCTATAAACATAGGTGCACATATATCACTGTGGTATGATGCTTTCAGTTCTTCTGGGAATATCCCTAGAAGTGGAATAGCTGGAATAAATGGGATTTCCAGTCCCAACTTTTTGAGAAATCTCCAGACAGATCTCCACAAAGGCTGTACCAGTCTACACTCCCACCAGCAGTGCAGGAGAGTTCCTTTTTCCCCACAGCCTCTCCAGCATTTGTTGTCGGTTTTCATGATCCTGGCCATTCTTTCAGGAGTGAGATGGTATCTCAGTGTGGTTTTAATTTGCATTTCTCTAATGACCAATGATGATGAGCATTTTTTCATGTATTTATTTGCCATTTGCATTTCTTCATCTGAGAATTGCGTATTCATCTCAGATGCCCATTTTTGGATTGGATCTTTGAATTTCGGAGGTCTGAGTTTCTTTAATTCTTTATATGTTTTAGACAAGAGGCCCTTGTCTGAGAGAGAGTTCACTAAAATCTTTTCCTAGTTTGTGGGTTTTCTTTTCACTATGCTGGAGATTTCTTTTGACATGCAGAAACTTTTTAATAAGAAGTGGTCCCAGTTATTGATTCTGGGAAGTATTTCCCGTGCGGTTTGAGTCCTGTTCATGAATTCTTTACCTACTCCTATGTCTCCAAGGTTTCTACCTATTTTGTCTTCCAATAGATTTAGTGTTTCTGCTTTAATATTCAGATCTTTGACCCATTTAGATTTTAATTTAGTACATGGTGATAGACATGGGTCTAGCTTTAGTTTTCGGCAAATGGAGAGCCAATTTTTCCAGCACCATTTATTAAAGAGACTGTCATTCTTCCAGTGAACCTGCTTGGCTCCTTTATCAAAAATAAGGTGGTTGAGTGTGTTCGTAGTTGTGGTTGTATCTTCTAATCTATTCCACTGATCTTCAGCTCTGTTTTGATTCCAATACCATGTTGATTTTACTACTGTTGCTTTGTAGTATAACTTCAAGTCAGGGATTGTGATGCCTCCTGCTTTGTCTTTGCTGCTTAGAATTGCCTTTGCGATTCTAGGTCTCTTCTGGTTCCAGATGAAATTTAGGAGTGATTTCTCTAGATCTATAAGGTATGTTGATGGTATTTCTATTGGGATTGCATTGAATCTGTATAACAGTTTTGGGAGAATGGCCATTTTCACAATGTTTGTTCTTCCTATCCATGAGCAAGGGATGTCTTTCCATTTTCTGAGATCATCTTCAATTTCCTTTTTCAGTGTATTATAATTTTCACTGTATAAGTCTTTCACTTCTTTCGTAAGAGTAATTCCTAAATATTTCATTTTTTTGCTTGCTAATGTG